AGGCCGACAGTATGGACGGGGATGTCGAGGTGAGGGAAGCGCGTGGAGGACACGACGGGGGAAGACGAGCGCTTCTGATTGGCGTCCTGAGAGCCCTCCGATAGGAGCATGATACTCGCGACTGCATTTCGCTCGCGGCGATCCTGGAGTACCTTCGCGGCCTTCTTCAGCGCGTCGTTCACGCACATTCCATTGCCGACACCACAGAGCGCGTCTACGATCCGACGCGCCGACCGTCGGCCGGCGGAGGTCATTCGCCGGAGTGGCAACAGCCGCTTCGAGGTTGAAGAGAAGGCGACGATGGAGAGACGGTCGGTATCGCGGAGTGACGAAACGATGAGTCGCATAGCGCGTTTCATCATCTGAATCTTTGCGTTGCTCGCGCTCGCGCTCACGTCCACCACCGTCACCAAGTCGATGGGAGCTCGGCGCTGCAACGACGCTGTTTCGGACGCAATAGGTTGCGGAGCTTTGATTTTGAGAACCACCGCGTACGTCTCGTAGGTCCTTCCGACGGCCACAACGGCCGATTCCGGCAACAGACTGACCTCCACGTTCTTCACATTCCGGTCAGTTGAACTCCGAGTGGAGGGAGGTTTGGAACTCGCGTTGACGAAGAAGCCTTGGAACTCGACGGCGTCGTTTTCGTCGTCGTTTTCTTCAGGGATTGGGTTGAAGCGAGAACCGGAAGTTGGGGACGAGAGGGGCTCGTCATCGTTGTAAACTCTCAAAGGTTTGGTCTTGACATCTCTGAGCTTCTTGGGTGATGATATTGGCACCAGCTGTTGGGTTTGTTGCTTATTATTGGTATTATTATGGACAGAGATTAAAGGCAGCTCCTTCCAGGTGGTGTTGCAGACAGGGCACAGGAGGAGCTGGTTCTTCTTGACAAGGGTGGCTATGCAGCCAAAATGAAAGGAATGCGAGCACTCAGCTGTGAAAATGGCTGTGCCTTGACCACTTTTCACACTCTGTAAGCAGATTCCACATCTACTCTGCAAAAAGGAAGAAAAACAATCGTCACTAAAAAGGTATGGTACAAAAACTAAAAGTCAAATTTTTTTTTCTTTTTATTAACAAAAAGTGAGATGATGGTATTGTGTTGTGTTGTGTTGTGTATTATCAATTTATCAATTATCAAAAGAAAAAAAAAACTGGAAAAAGATGCTTACTTTGGAGAGGCGTAAGGTGGACTTGAGGAGGGAGAAGCTGGACGGTGATTTTGGTGATGATGGGTTTGAGCGTTGGAACTGGAAAAGTAGTCTTGGGCTGTAGCTGCTGATTTTCTTAGGGTTTGTGGTGGCTGAGATGTTGCATTGGAGTTTTGGGCTGTTGGGTAGTGAGGAAGTAGGTGTGTTTGTGGTGGTGATGGTGGTGGAGGGGGCGGTGGTTCGACAGCGGAGGCCGGGGCTTGAGGAGACTGGTTGAGATTGAGATTGCAACCGAGGCGTTGATGGGTTAGAGAAGAACCCAAATTTGGAGCTGATTTTGGGGCTCTGTTGATTGCTGCTGTTGTTGCAATGTTGTTGTTGTTGTTGTTGCTGCTGCTGCTGCTTTTCTATAAGCACTTTGGTGTCTCTGTCTTTTCGGATTGATGTGCAGAAGGCCCTTCGCCACCCAGTCACCATTTTTTTAGTCTCTCAAGCTTTTTGAATCAGTGGAGAAAAAGGGGTTTGATTTGGATTTGGTAATTTAGGGGATGATGAAAATGAAATGGCAGCAGAACAAAGCATGAAATGGAGAAGAAGAGATGTTGACAAAAAGAGTGGATTAGGATTTGGAAGAAGCAGATGCCCTTCTCATCTTGGACTTTCCAATGTTTCCATTTCCCTTATTTAAACTCTGCCTCTGCTTCTGCTTCTTCTTATTTGCATCAATCGCTCTGTTTCTGTGTTTTCTCTTTCTTTCGAAACCCCCCAAAAAGAGAACACAGCAATTGAAAAGGCCTCGCTGCTCTTGCCAAATTCAATACTCTTATCTCTCTCTCTCTCTCTCTGCTTCTCTCTCTGGGCCTCTACCTATAGGATGGTAGATAGATATATCATATATGCGATATTAGTAATACAATTTACA